TGTTTGTTCTGTTTGGGGTGGGGGGGTAGGGAGGGGAGGAGGGGGAAGAGGGGGGGGGGGGGGGGGGGGGGTGGGGGGGGGGGAGCGATGTAAGAGGGTGCTAGGTAATGGAGAAATCTAAAACAGTAGTGATGCGCTGGAGAGAATTAACTAAGTGATCAATTTTTGTTCTCTTTGTTTTAGCTTCATCTGTATCGGACGATATTGCTGCTTCTGCTGTTGCCGGTGATCCAGATGCGGAAGCAAGTGTTTCCGTGGAAGGTGAAGGAGTCGATTGTAAGTACCGAACACAATGGTTTCCCTCTTCCTTTGAGTACGTAAATGTACTTTCTCTTTTGTAGCCGTTCAATGTGGTAATGGTCAAATTACAATTGCAAAAGGTACAATTGCCTGCAAATAGAAATTTGATTGACGAATAATGAATATAATTCAATCGAATTTAATATTTTTTCTTACGAGTCTTTTTTCTTTATTATTAACATCGCTAATTATCAATAAAACCTCAAGATTTTCAAATAGAAAATACGTATCATTTGAATGAATTTTTCGATGAATGAACATGATTATCGAGAAGTAGCTGAATCGAACATACACGAGAGTTACCATTAGTTATGCGCTAAGGATACATTCGAATCCTTCGTTCTGGTTGTGGACACTTATTCACTCTTGTGCTGCTATTATGTTCTATTCGAAAATGGTGGCAGAAGTCCAATTCACGACGAACGAAAATAGCTTTTGCCAAGAATAAACGAGGACGCACACTGTGAATAACCCCTTCTCAAGGTGTCAAGAGTGATTCGCTGGAAATATATATTTTTAGTGCTTTATATTCACTTTACGTATCTGTCCACCTTAATCGATGTGATTAGTAGATTGAAAAAGTAGAAAAACCTATGTTTTATTTCTAAAATGCTTTTCAATTAACTATCTAATCACGAAAAAAATAATTTCTTTTACTAATATACACACAAGGAGGCGTAGGCCACGATATGTAATTTATTTGTCACATTCAAACTTGCAAATTACCTTCTTAGTCTAAGAAATGGAACATTATTTAAATTACCTTCTCTCAACGATCTTCCGTCACGCTAGAAATCTTGTCAGGCAACAGAACAATGCACTATCGATCGATGCTAATGATGATAATTATTACTTTTCCTCCTCTATTGTTTTCCGCCTGCACACAAGTCTGTTATATAGATTAGAGAACTAGAAAAATTCACATCACATGCAAGACTCTAAATAGGAAAAGCTATTATCTTTGCCTTTCAATCTTATAAATAGAACAATAAAATATCAGAAAATTCATTCATATTTGACTATTCTGAAAAGTTCTGTTTAGATACGTATTCATCAGCATGTATTTCTTCACCATTCTAGCTTCCTTGATCTGCCTTCAATTAATCTCGACTGTTACTAGTGGTAGGAATTCGAGATGCTTCTTTTTTTGCTTTCTCACTGTTTCATTTTTGTTTCAAATTCATAACTCAAGACTCAAATGATGCTAGCCGAAGTTCGCAGCCAAATACTTTAATTCAACCTTCAACAGTAATTGATAACGAAGATATAACCAATTATGACAAGGAGGATGACGAGGACTACTTCGTTGTACCGCGAGCTGCAGAATTTTTAAGATTTGGTCGTCAATTTCCATCGACATATTCGTCATTTCTTCGTTTTGGTCGTTCCCAACCTACCTTTCTCCGATTCGGTCGTCCTGATCCCAATGGAGCTGCTTTTCTTCGCTTTGGCCGACAAGCTCCAAGCTCCGCTTCGAGCAACTTTCTTCGATTCGGTCGACAGTTTCAACAAGCAGCTTCGAACAATTTTCTTCGTTTTGGTCGCGAAGCTCAACCAGCAGCATCAAGCAATTTCCTCCGATTCGGTCGTAAAGGTGAATTCTTACGATTTGGTTAAACAACTGACCACGGCAAGCATATGAACACTTTGTTAAAAAATAAAAGCAATACAAACCGAGCCTGAAATCTTGTTTATTCGCGTCTTTTGTCAAATTGAATTGTTTATTATAAAGAATAACTGAAATAGTCTCTCGATGTTCAATGAGAATATAATAAAAAGGAAATATTTGAGCAAAGATAGGCTCAGAACGATGAGACACGATTGAAGTTAACAGTCGACGATTCGTTCGGTTCTACCGATGGCACTGACAAGTCGATTTGATTATTTAACTTTTTATTTTATTCAGATGTTAATAAACTCAACGTCTGCTGTAAATTTTTTACATCGGGATGTTCAGGAGGCAATACTTGACGTCGATATTTCAAAGCTTGCTCATAAAACATTTTCGCTTGAGGAAATTTCATATCTAACTCGTGAATTAATCCAAGATTAAAGTATGCGGAAGCCAAAAGCTCTTTTCGAAATGGACAGGTTTTCTCATCCATGTCCGATACAATAGTTACTGCACGAAATCCATGATCCACTGCATTGGAAAAGACATTTAACCGTTCGTAAGATACTCCCACATTCGAAAATATCGGTGCGAGACATGCATAATCGACGGAAAACCCGTCCGGTGTGGTTTGTCGGGCGAATTCTAAACCGTATTTATATTCGCTAATAGCTTTTCCGTATTCACTCATACAATCGTAAATCACACCCATATTATAATTCATCAGAACCGTACGCAATTGTCGAATTTTTGAAGAGTAGGTTTTTTCAAATAGTTTGCGCGTTGATTTGAATTGATACAGTTTGTGTGTAACGGACGACGCGAGTTCAGGTAAAGTGGACTCTTCAAGCTTATAAGTTAAAGTTAAGTAATGCACTATATCAGTATATTGCTCATCCTTTTCACCAATTAACGTCAGATAGATATGCCAAGACGCAGGATCTTCCGGAAACTGTTCAAGTTTATCAATTCGATATATACTTGTCATGGATATGAGATAGTCATTTTCATGAACAAATTCACTGTCTGCACCAATGTTCGCAAACGGAACATTCGGTTTCGCATCATGCGGAATTGTGATGTTGAGGATTGCATTGATCTGAATGGGATTGATGATAACGGTGTCTGTTGCTGGTGTTGTTGCAGGCGTTGTTGCAGGCGTTGTTGCTGGCGTTGTTGCTGGCGTTGTGGCTGTTGCTGCGGCTGGTGTTGCGGCTGGTGGTGGTGGTGCTTGATATTGCAGAAATGTCAAAGGTATTGCCTTTTCGGTGTTAGCAGAAGTAAATTGATTAATACACATCAGTCCTCCTTCGTTTAGTCTGATTTTTTCAAAATCATCAAATGATAATAATTGATATGAATACAACACTAAATCTTTCGACATTGAAATGCTCTGTTCTTCATGTAAATTTGTCAGTTGCTTGACAAGTTGTTGTATGAACGGACTCATCGTACATAGAGTAAATAGATCATTGATTTGTAGAGCACGATTAACAATAGTTTGAAGGAAACTGTCTCGTGTATACCACCAAACAGGATCATATTGCGTATAGACCTTTTCTAAATCATTGATAAAATGCTGCTGATGTGGACTCGAATATTCAATTCGACAGTAACTAATCATATCTTCAATTTTAATTAAATTCATATTCGATAAAATCAATTTGATTAGAATAGAATGAAGAACCGGTACGTCTTGCCGATCACCCAAAGATAAATCAGGATTTTTCCTGAAAATGTCGAATTGTAATTGTTCTTCGTCAGATATTGATGATTGGGCGGCAAAATATTTTCGCAAATAGTCACATATCTCATCGATTTCGGTATAAACTCCACGAATTTTATTGAATTGTTTCGCCCATTGATCGTATTTTGATTTATTAAAACAGAATATATAAACCGAATGTAATTGATGAAGACCATGAACTAATGGAACAAGTTGAGTACCCATTTGACCAGACACAATCAAGCAAACATTACTCGCATGATAGATAAAATCTTGACATGCATCTAACTCGCTGAAAGTATGGATCAACTGCCGTTTTCTATTCACAATACGTGTCAATTGTATTAAGGTATTCACATCATCGCTAGCATTTGTATCTGAGCCGATCGATGCATCACACCAGACCACAACGAACGGAGGATCAGTTGGGTCATCGACAAGACTTGTCTTCGACGAAGAACCGACAATAGGATGATATTTTGGCAATCGATCTTTACCATGCAGATTACCCATTTTGATTGAAATCTATGTACAAAACATCATCTTATGAATATTGATTTGCATTTCGTACTTACTTTGAGATTCGACAGTGAAGAAAAAAACGTATCGAACTGCTGTCTCGATATGACGTTCTTCTCGACGTGTTAGGAATAGAACGAAAAAGAAAAAGAAATTCCCGACGTAGTACGTAATCATACACGCAAAGAATGATATTAATCTTGTTATTTTTATATTAGTCTCGACATGCTTCAGTAATTTCGTCATTTGTTGATAAAACAGGATGCATCAGTTTTATTTTCTATCCTGCTCTATCTCGAAATATATATACTAACATTTTCAAGACTCGATATAAGAGTTCTTTTATTTCTTTTACAGAACGCTGCAGCTATCAACTCGAGTTTGATTTATCAACTTTCTCTGCTTGAGGCTGCATATGACTGCAGACAACATCAAAGTCCGGTTTTTCAAAGGTCTGAACAATGAATTTTTGTCATAGAATATATTTCTTCATTCCGATAACATAATCAAGAAATATGGCTTCATTTCCGCTTGATATTATGCAAAAATCAATCGAAATCGGGCATGCTCATACTGAAAGCGCTTTGAATGCTCTGAGAGCAAATCCCATGAGAGTTTATATAAATTCGTTCCAGGTTCTACAGCAAGTCGGTGTGTGTAGCTTTACAAACATCTGATCGATGCTTTGTGTGACTAAGGAACATCTGTTATCATGAAATAGAACTCTTCTTCGTTTCTATACATATGTTTATTAATCGCAATTCTATTATAAACAATCTACAAGTGTTAATGAGATAGAACAGCTATAGTAATTTTATCATTCTCTTCACAAAGAGTCGGATGTGATGATAGAAGACCGTTTATTTCTGTATTACCACCTGTTGTTACTATTCTTCGTGTTGAATTTTTGCCGTTAACAATCGACGATTTTCTTTCGCCATTTCGTGAGATTAATGATGATTTTGTTCCAAGGAAATTCCATGTTTTCTGTCGATGTTTCGAAAATGTTTTACAGAAATGGTCCGTTAAAACAATGAAGAACAATGGATTTAAAATGCCTTCAATATGACTAAGTAGAACAACAAGTTGATGTGCATATGTCAGAAAATGTCTTAGTAATGGTCGACGACGTATCGTTTCATCCAGTAGGAAACTTGTGTAAAATTTAAAGATCCAGAACGGTGTATAACAGATGAGAAATGATAAGACAATACATAGGACAAGCTTAACTCCACGTGTACGTTTCTTGACAATATTTAATCGCGTTAATTTCTGCTTTCGGTTCAACCATTGACGTAGAAATCGAAGTAGTTTCAATGAAAATACGACTATTATTGAATATGGTATGATAAATGCCATGATATAAAGAACGATTTCGTAGATAAGTAGAGTATGCTCGGAGAGAACAGATCGACATGTTAAGATTGATGTTGTCAGATTTTTCGTCGAACTTTTATTTTGATCATAAAGAAATGTGTAGAAAATGAATGGATATGGTAACAAGATTCCAACTGTCCAGATGACAATCACCGATGCAAATGTGATGAAGAACCGAACTTTAGCTGACAATTTCGATCGAGCATCGATGTAACGTTCAACGCTCAATGCTGCGACTGTATAGACAATGACCTAGAAGAAATTTCAGATGATTTCGAAGGTGTTTTGCGAAAATCATTTGCAATTGTTCGCATGAATGTTTTTCTCTAATGAAATCAGAGCTTCTGTCATCATTAATAGATTTCCTTCTAATGAGATAGTTATCAACTCATTTGGATATTATTGTTATGGTGTTTATTAATAATACCATTGTCCTTGATTCGTTGTTTTTCGCTGTCATGTTTTTATGTATGCATTTATAAACAAGAAGTTAGTTTCAAGTATTAATAAACACTTGGCAATTATGTTATTCTGTTTTTCTTTCGTGGTTATATATAATTATGCCTTTTGATCCGATATCAGCGATTTTTTTTTCAAAGGATATTATAGACACTTGTTTGAACTTCTTCACGACTTGCAGTTGAGCACAAACAAAAAAAAAACTTCTTTTAAACTTTTCCTGTTTTCAGTGTACTAAAATGTCATGTTTCCTTTGGGGTGGAACAAATGCAGACTCAGTCAGCTTTTTATGTGTATTTTATTCCTCGTCACTGAACAAGGAAATGGACGTCGCAAATCAACCGGCTCTCATTCGATTAAAGAATGAAACGTATCTAATCTTACCACAGTACAAAGAACATCGATGGATAAACTAAATTTGCATCCAAATTCACCAAACACCCAGCTTGGAGTAAACAAATTAGTACTAAAGAAGATAATTCCCACTAGAAAGAAACAAGAACGAAAGAAAAACTTGGAAATCTTCAATTCATCCGAGACATACTGGCATGAATGATGTCGGCAATCGCTAAATTAACAACAAGAATAGCAATTGACGTTTTGTCTCGCCTTGAACGAATATAAACAATAGCTAGAAGATTAAGAATGATTGTTCCAAGAAATATGGCAGCACTGGTTAGCACAAATAGATTCCGCAAGATAATATTATTCATGATAAGTTTGTTTTAATTACATCTATCAATGGATTAATATGTAAAATATCATCGCGTTATCTAGAAGAAACAAATGTATTCATCACCCAATTGTCAAACATCGAAGAAAACTCTATTTATATGAATGGATAATGTTTGACTGCTCGATCATTTAGCATGCGGAGAATAAATGTATATAACAATGAACAATATGATTTATGTTGAGATAAACATACTTAATAGTTATTAGTAAGTCGCGCTGTACACATATATATTGATATATATGTATCTGATTGACCGGAGTATGTCGTCATCGTTAAAGGGAAGGATTTGCGCAGACGGAGAGATAAAAGTAACATAAGCAAGGTTAGATTCGACGATCGAGCCACCTAGATGGAGACAGAGACTACCGGGCATGGTGAAGGTCTCGCGATTTGTCTTTCTTTTCATTGTCATACTTATCCGATATTTAACGCTTGAAAATACAAAAGGAAACGACAATAGTTAATCTTATTTTAATAATGGGAAAAAAAGCAAAGAATCTATCATGTGAACTACACGAGAAAATTAGCGAGATATTTGTTGGCATGGAACTTCATTCTGCTCGTGATAATTGCAGACTTTTGCGATGACATAGACAGAAAATCTTTACATATGTCCTTGTTTGACCCATTGTTCTACAGACACATTTTCAATGCGAGACTTTCTACGAACGGAAATCTCATCTTAACATGAGTGAGTTGTTCAAATTTTGCTCAGGCATCTATCCTGTGAGTGATATTCATTCTTTGCTACACTAATCTAATATTGTCAAAACGACTTAGAAGATAAATCCGCCATACAGTTGTCATTGGGTATCTACTTTCGACACTTACCTCAATCTTCCGTCAAAAATATCTTCTACTGATGGGATACATCAGACTAGTACTATCTGAATCATTGTGTATGAAACAAGGACTACAATTACGTCTCTTCATGATTTTCTTCTCTCTCTTTCTCGTTCTCTTTCTCGTCTTCTCTCTTTCTCTTCCCTTCGCAATATGCTAGTCTACTTCCGCCAGATATCCACGATGATAATTTAACCATCTATCAATATCCTCTATAGTTACATTCGATGTACCACCTAACTCATTCTTCGAAAATTGGAAATTTATTCTACAGTATTTAAATGCATCTTATAATAAAAAAAATGAAAGTGATCGCTTTGATTTGACAGGCAACGAAAGCGTTTGATGCTAATGAATTGAATGTTAATCATTTCAATCAATATGTTTGTTTCTTAAATGAAAGAAAATATTCGATGTCATTTTGTGTAGTGTTACATACAAGGTTATCCTTTTCTACTAACCATACTATTTGTCTTTGTCGTCTGTAAATGGTTAGAATGTTTATAACAGATTCTTGACTGCTCATGGTCGTACAAACAACTATAAAGAGATATCCGCTTTATTTTATGTGTCACTTTGACGAACAAAAACAATAATAACAAGATGATGACGTCAAAATAAATCGTAACATATGTTCTTTTCAGTTTTTTTTCTTGTTATTACAAGATTTGATCGATGTACTCTCAAACTAGGACGTTTCACTCTTCTTTTCGTCTACATGACAGGCCCAGCTATTAATATTTTCATAGGAATGTGATCGGAAGAATTTATTAAACAAAGAATTAATATGTAAGACACATGCTATCAATCAGTCTGTCTTGTATTATCGTTTAACATAGATTATCTGCTTTCTTTCTATCCCTATCTCTATCTTCTTTTGCCATGCAAATCTTTCAATCACACTCGATTACATGGATTACCTGTCTTGGAAGAACATCCATACGGACTGGTCTCTTTTTTTTTGCATTTCTTTCGAGAGAAACGCGTACGATGAAAACACTCTTTGGACAGGCACATAACAAGACAATTTGTACATCAATCGTATCCAATAATTGAACAAGCTATTACGTTTTAGGTCAAGGCTCGTCGCTGCATTAGATATCTTCATGAGAGAATATCTCCTATTAGACAACATCTGTATGCTCTTTCGTAATACATATCTGTCTGTTAATTACTATTTCAAGTCAGTTTAATGCCCTTTACTTTTGTACCGATGGAAGTACAATTAGTCTGTATGTTACAGCTGACTCGCTTGGGTTTTATTGACCGTGACGTGATAAAGAAATCGTAGTCTATTCGCATTCGGTGACACAAAGAAGAGAAGTTTGTTTGATCAGTGCTGATAGTTCATAGTGAGAAACTCCGATTTTCTTACCTTGAAATATCGAGCTTATGTGATTGAAGTACTTTCTCAATGACGATGGAAGTAATTATTAATAGTTGTAACAGCGGTCGAATATCTCAAGGTTGAAGAAGGAAATAGGAGCGTATTGAGGAAAAAAACGGAAAGAGACAGAAGAAGAAAACAGAAAAATAGGAGAGAAAATCAACCTGCTCTCTTCAAGAAAAAAAAATTCAACTCAATTGAGCACAGTTTCATCTTACAGCATTCTGTCATGAACGAATCAATCTGTATATTCGAAAAATAGCAATGTCACCAATGTGACATGTGTCATTGTTTCGACAGAAAAAATGATCAATTTAACTTGCCTTCAATAAACTTTGAGCACACTCGAATAAGAAATGTCTTTTTCGTGATAGTGAATGTCATCTCCATGGATGACGTACTTACAAATCTTTATTAAAGAAATAGTTAAGTTAATTATGTATAGAACATTTAGTGTTCTGATGGAACATGTAGATAATTTGAAAATAGGATCGAAACATGACAGTTATCTCAATGTAGTTTCTGCATCCTTGAACTGAATTCGGAGGAGTTTGTTTTATCAATGTACTCATGTTGTTTTGCTCGAAACGAAATCTATCGTCGTACAAATGTTGACAGATGATCTGGAAACAATTGGTTTTCGACACAGTAGATATAATTGAATAGATTATTAATGTTGTTTATGCTTTCAATAATCGTTTTTTGTTTCTTTGTCAGTGCAAATTCCTATCCGACATTGTCACCAAGATGATTGATGTACTCACACAGTATTTTACACAGCGATTAGAAATTGAATTTGCAATGACTTTTTTATTGTATTAATCAGTAAGTCGGAACGTAATCTTCTTTCGATTTCTTTGAATCCTTCTCGCGCATGGTCAGTTCGAATGTCATACGAAAGGTCTAATCATTAGTTTCGTATGCACACCCCCGTAACTTTTAATATATTATCAATCGGAACATTGTTCGAGAGTAGAATGTGGGCATAGAGAGATAAACTTGACAGACGATGTAGATAGCTGCTTGTCTCCGAGGAATAACGATAAAATTTCTCCGAATTATGAATACGTTCCACGTTCTTTAATTTAGTAGTAAATGCACTAAGGTGGCTATTTTGTAATAAAAAAAAGCGAATAAAAATAGAAATAATCGAGAAGTATATACTTAATGTGACAAGATTTCGACATTACTGTAATACATGAAACTCTTCTGGGAGAATAGCGCTGATGGCAAGAGTACTTATACATTAACCTTGTTTCTTATTGAGAAAAGAGGGATGACGTATGTAGGGCAAAAATAATACAAAAAGCATGATCTCTCATGCTCAGTTAACCTTTCTGTTCATTTAACCAGCAAGAAATCGTCACGTGAAAAGTTGATACTTTCCCTTCGTAGTAATTCACAATATCATTTGTGATAACGATAGAAAGACATAGGTCTTTCAACTTAACCAATTACATTTCTGAATGAAATAGATAAAAAAAAGTCGAAACGGTGACAAAAACTAAGTGAATTTATCATTGACGTTGGCTCTATTTGTATACATGGCATGTGCGACTCGATGTTTATCCATTTTCATCATCATCGTAGGAATTACCATGGCGTATCTTTATCGTGCACCGAATAATAAAGGCATCGAACAGATAGATCGAATTCGAATACTTTGTATACCGATGAAAATTGCTCATTTAATTGTATGTTGATATGGACTATAGTGTTATAGAATGATAGTTTTTGCTTCGATAGGGACAAATAGTGGAATTTTTCGGTGTATCTGATCGTGTGATGGTACTACGAAAAGTAATCGATTTTGCCGCATTGTTACAGAATAAGAAAGTTGTTGATGCTAATCTTCAAGTGACAACGATATTTTTCCTAATAAAGTTGTAATATTCTTTATGTTGAGGTCAAAGATACATTGATTGAAAACGTACATGTTCGAATCGTTCGACCATTGAATGATAATAGTTCATTGCCTGTTCTTATTTACTTTCATGGTGGCGGTTTTTACATGGGTTCAGTTGGTAAACTCCCTCTGACATCAATAGAGTATTCTCGATTATTTCGTATTATAGATACGTACAATACACTGACGAGCACATTGTCACGATCAGCAAATATTGTTGTTGTTTCTGTTAAGTAAGTTAATAACTCTCTGAATCTATTCGCTGTACATTCGTATAGTTATCGCCTTGCACCCGAACATCCATTGCCTGCTGGTCTGAATGATTGTTATACCGTCGCGAAATATCTTCTCGAGTATAAGCAATCAAAAGACTTACATATCGATCCAACACGAGTGATTATAGCTGGAGACTCTGCTGGTAAATGTTCTTTTTTTGTCAATTGTTCGAATGTTTTGTGTGTATATTCCAGGTGGTAGTCTTGCTGCTATCATAACGATGCGACTAGTGACACATCCGGTTAGCAAATATCTACCTCGTCTCCAAGTTTTGATTTATCCATCTCTACAATTTTTCGATATGATGCTTCCATCTTATCGACAGCAACATTTTACTTTTCTACACTATACTTCTTCGCATAAACTATCAGTCTATTTGAATGATAGTATCGACGAAACACTGTATTTCAATCAGCATACCAGTCTCGAACAAAAACGATGGTATCGCAAATATGTTGATTGGTCACTGATTCCAATAGAATATCGAACGATTTATACAAATCCAATAATGGATGGTCAAGAGGGTGACTTCAAACTTATCGAAAAGATGAAAAGAGCTCTCGAACCGGACGTTTCACCACTGCTTGTAGATAATGAGCAGTTAGCAAAGTTACCATCGACTTATATCATCACCGTTGGGCACGATCGGCTTCGTGACGAAGGATTCATTTATGCTCGTCGCGTCAAACGCACGGGTGTTGACGTTACTCACAAACATTACGAAAATACATTTCATGGCTCAATAACATTTCTCTATGGATCATTGGGATTGAATATCGCTCGAGAAATGGTTGATGATATCGTTCAACATATGAAACGAATTCTGTGATACTTTTTGTTGTAATGAAATTTTTTGATAAATCAGCTACTTATCAATAGTGTAGTTCGGCTCTTTTCTCGCTCCTTAGAACGTTACTTTTTTTGTCACTGCATCATCAATGACTCCTTCTGATTGCTTGACACCGTCTAACCAATAGAGAATCAGACGAAAGTTATCGTATTTTTTAGTACGGAGAATAGAGACATTTCATATATTCTTCATCGACTCATAAACCTTCAAATCTGATCTTTTCAACTATGAGTGATCAATCTCAATCGAAACCAAAATCCGATACTGCTTCGGCTTCTGCTTCATCCTCCATTCCATCAGATCCCAATCAATCTGGCAATGAGTTGACGATCGAATATTTTCAAATGCAGTTGATTCTCGAGTATCTTTTACGGCTTTCATATAATTCGAACGATCACACCGAACTTATTGCAATGTGTTACGAACAACTTAATCACCAACGTCATGAATTACGAATGTTACACGCATTGAAAACAGATTACTCTGCAGATCGAGCTCTTTGGTGGTACATTCAAGAATGTTTCCTGTACAAAATTTTGAACAATTCCCTCGAAAGTCGAGATATACGTAATCTATTCCTCTTTCGTGGAATTCTGCATGATATCGACCAACAAATCCGACAACATCGATGTTCCACTCCACTCCACGTGTACCGAAGTCAAATAATGCCAATTGAATTGCTTGATAAATGGATAAGTTCCGTTGGTCAATGTATTGTAATTAATTCGTTTCTTTCCGCGACCACAAATAACGAAGTTGCTCTTACTTTTCTCAATACAAGTCAGGAGACAAAACCAAACTGTGAACGCGTTCTGTTGGAAATCGATGCTGATCCTCGAGTACCCGGTTCAAGACCATTCGTTCAAATCGGTTCATTAAATTTCTCCGGTGATAAAAATGAAGTCTTATTTACATTCGGTTCGATTTTTCTGATTAATAATATTACATGTGCAAACAATGGCATCTACACAATTGAATTAACCTTGTACAGTGACACCGATCATGAACTCAAACAAGTCTTCGATGAGATGAAAAAGAAATACAATGATCAAGAGATAAATCTTCTTACATTTGCCAAACTATTGTACGATTTGGATAGATTCGATGAAGCGGAAGAATACGCAACTGTTTATCTTGAAGAATTACCTGCGAATAATTCGAATAAAGTCGAGTGTTACAAATTACTGGGATTGATCGCCGCAGCGAGAATTGATCTTGATACCAGTCTTTCGTGGTATAATAAGGCACTTGAATTCGAAATGCGACGAGCTGGAAGATCAACAGATACGAAAATTGCAGATATACATGAAAGTATCGGGGATCTCTACTGGAAACAAGGTACGAGCAGGATTTTCCTTATCTATTCTGATAGATCTTTCTTTAGGTTTGTACGATTATGCGTTGAAACATTACACAACTTCATTGGATATTAAAACACGAAGTCTTCCACCACAGCACCCATCAACGGCAGTCACTCTGGAGAATCTCGGTCGTCTCTATGAATCGAAAAAAGACTTCTCTCAGTCAATGGCATGTTTTCAACGAGCAAGTGCGATATATCGACGTTCATCTCCACCAACACCACAAGATAAAATCAATCAACTCGAAGAACATATCAGACGTATTTCGCGCTATTTAAAATAAATCTGTAATTTCCGTTTTGTCTGTATTCTTTTTTTTTCATTCACAGTGAAAATCGAACGCTATTCTAGATAAATGTTAAACCTTGAGTAATGCTCTTAATACTCTCGACAGATGGCAGTTCTATTCACTCCAACCGGAGTAATCGAACAGTGTCGCCAGGAGATTTTCAATAATGTGGACTGTCCTTAAATTATATAGAAAATTGTCATCAATATTGACAAACATTGCGCATCTTATATCAAATTAACTATCAAATAATCAAATAGGAATGAGTCATTCGTCAACATTGTTTTCGACTCAATCAACAAATCAGTTGATGCGTTCTTTGCTCGATCATTGACAGTAGAGAAAACAACGATGACTGAACAAGAAGACATTGTCGAACTGCCTCAAATTCCAGCCGACGCACCACAATGGGTTCAAAATCTACCATCAAATGGTCGATTTCTTGATCGAACAAAATTCTACGATATAACCGGTCATCTTCTATTTGATTCTCTATTGAATTCAAATGGCATACGTCATTTTTACTATTTTGTGGGTACTGAAAAACAAACGGAACGGACGAACAATGCTTCTAGTAACTCATCGGAATCTCAAGACACGACAAGTCAACTGTATGAAGAAGTCCGCGTTGCTTTTCATCTCGGTGAAGGAGTTTGCGGACATAAAGGCATAGTGTAAGTATCCGAACAATTGCTTTGTCATGATGTCATGAATTTTTTGGTAGACATGGAGGGCTGACAGCCACGATGATCGATGAAGTTAGCGGTGCAGCAGCGTAAGTTGTTTTGTTTGCGCATAGAAGCGAATCGCTTGATTTTTTTTATAGATTTTTTTCGGTCGGCCCTTGTTTTACAGCCAATCTTAATGTAGATTATAAAAAGCCATTACTTACACCGGCATGGATTCTTGTTCGGGCTCATGTTGAACGTGTCGATGGTCGAAAAGCATATATACACGCTTCGGTCGAAAATGGCGAAGATGAAATCTATGCGGAAGCTGTTGTGCTTTATATCAAACCGAAAAAACCCGCAGAAGAAATAATCAAACAAAACTAATTTGTCATTGTCCGGTGCGCTCTATTTTTAGTTAAATGTTTTAGGTAAAAATTCTCTCAACAAATCAGTTTTCAGAATTCTCGGTGTTCGAACGCAAATAGATTCATTTATTTATGTTTTGCTTTCGTCATGTATCGTATTTCGTTTTACAAATAAATGTCAGACAATAACGAAGAGTTCTACAATGCTAGACAAAATCATTAGAACAAACTATGTAAACATTATCATATGTCCATATTCTTTCTAAGAAGAGAGTATTTCATTGAGTTCTATTGCGAAGGACATTCTTGAAGAGCAAGTCAAAATCTGTGCTTCACATTGGAACACAATACAACATCCTCTTCTTAGAAAGAATATAGACATATGATAATGTTTACATAGCTTGTTCTTGTAATTTTATTCGAGACGATATTTTTATTTAGATAATCTACGAAAAAAAGAAGATAACGAACACCTGCAATGATAGTGATAGATAATGTTTAGGTTTTCTATCTGAACACAAATCGTATGTCTTATCTTTTCCAAATATGTTACATTTTTTGACGAAAACAATTTTCTTATTGATATTTATTGTTATTTACTGTGAATTTTTTATCTATTATTTTGTATTATTGGCTTGTTCATGGCCTCAGTTATCAAAATTTGATCAGGATTTTACAATTAAATCAACTAATGAGCGAAACCAAAAGCCATTACATGTTATGTTCGTTTCTGATACACATTTACTCGGTTCACGTGAAGGCCATTGGTTTGACAAACTACGGCGCGAATGGCAAATGTATCGATCGTTTCAATCTGCAAGATTTCTCTTTGATCCCCATGTAATATTTTTTCTGGGCGATGTAACTGACGAAGGAAAATGGTGTTCAGATGATGAATGGGAAGCAACAGTGCAACGCTTTCATTCCTTATTTGCTGTTCCAACGGATACGAAAGTGTATGTTCTGGCAGGAAATCATGATGTTGGCTTCCACTATGCGGTATCAGATGGTCGTTTAAAACGATTTGAGTCATCATTTCAAGCGCCACATGTTCGTTTGATCACGATTGACAATAATGATGATAATCTTTATTTTATACTAATCAATTCCGTAGCATTCGAGGGTGACCAATGTCGATTATGTATGCGTGCTGAAAAAGAACTCAATGAAATTGTTCAAGATTTAAAACAAGTACGAACATGGACACGACCCATCTTATTATCCCACTTCCCGTTGTATCGTCCATCAGATGAAAATTGTACGCAATACATACAGGTTAAACAAAACATCTTTTCTTTGACTACAATCAAAACTATCTTTCCTTTTAGTCTTCTTCATCGTTTACTTCATCTCGATTCACTTTGCTCAAGGAACGTTATGATGTCTTATCTCAAGAAGCATCCCAGCATTTATTAGAAACAATACAGCCTCGTCTTATATTTACAGGCCATACACATGATTTTTGTTATACTCGACATATAGGAACCAATGGTCGAATCATTCCCGAATGGACAGTGCCATCATTTTCTTG